TAGATAGTATAACTAAAGTTACAGATTTATCTAGATCCAACTGATAAGCATAGCCATCAACCTAAACACAAGCCTATATGGGTATGACAAGAGCCTGTTAGGTCTATTAACACGTACACACCTCCATGCTTCAACTTCTTATTGGCCAGTAAGTTATGTATGTGCCAGAGGTGTTCCAAATCTGGTAAGGCCAATTCTTTACCACAGGTTTCTTTGTGTTTACCACATTTCTCACCACTTTCCAATTCTGGTTACTGCCCAGTTATTCTTCCAAACAAGATTCCCAATGCCACTTTAGGGGTTGTTGGTGCTACTTTGCCAATCGTGGATTTATACACACAACCTTTGTATAATAGAACCTTCTGTAACAACCACTATTACACATAGTGCCAACTACTCACAATAGACCTCCTTCTGGAAATTCCTAATCCAGACTTGTATTCACTTGGACTTCCCATAGCAGATACTTCCAAATATTTGTAGATAAACATACCTACTAGAACTTGAACCTGAAACCTACTTGTGAAGAGTTGGGTGTCTAGACCACTAGACCGCAGGATCCCAATCCATAATACAATTTAGTATGGTAATTTTTTTATTAAATTGTATTGTCAAATAAGTATTCCATGGGGCTATAATTATCTAATATTTGTTAAACAAAAAAAAATCAAAAAACCTGTTCTAACATATGCTCTGACTTCCAATATCTATCTTCTTGTACAAAGTGAATAACAAAAACATCTTTATATTTAACATGCAAATTGGCCTGGAATTGCTCTTCAGACAATTGTAATAATCCATGGCATAGGCATACAAAAGCTGAAACTATAACAGAATGCCCTATATGTTTTGAACACAAAATATCTTCATTCTTTCTAATTCAAATTTTACATTGTTTGTTATGTGACATTCATTATGTGTTACTTGTATCAAATCTTTTTCATCATACTCAAGTTCAAGCTGCACTATTATCTTTAGCATATCGCCAACAAATTCTTTCATATACTTCTTATATGTAAACATCCTCTCTAGCCACTCTTTTCTATATAGTAACATATCTGGCCGCCTATGCCTATCATAATATACACCTTTTTTTTTTCATCATACTTGTATCCTAATGCATACATATATGTACGACATGTTTTCTCTGATATTGTATTTTTTGTATATTCCAATTTGGGCAATAATATTTTTTTAATATAAATTTTTAGAGCCCCAGGAAATCGTGATTCAGGAGTTTGTTGCCACAGCCATTTTTGACATTTTTCTAAAAAATCCTTATTATCAAGTATAGGCCGTATCATCACTTCTGATACATCACATTTTATAAAATAAATTAAAA